CCCCTTGATTCCCCCAGCAGCGCCACCGGCCTCAAGGGGGGCTCCTGGATCATTTCCGGCTGCTCGGTGCTGCGCGACGGGCGCTCCATCTTGGAGGAGTACGGGCAAGACCTGGATCAGTTGGGCGAAGGCGACCGGGTGGGCATTCAGCGGACAGCCGGCGGGGAGCTGCGCCTGTGGGTCAACGGGCAGGACTGCGGCGTGGCGGCCACCGGCATCCCGCCCCGCGTCTGGGCTGTGGTTGACTTGTACGGCAAGTGTACCCAGATCACTGTGGTGCCTGGCAACCCGGAGGAAGCGGAGGAGGGAGCTGCCCACGATGAAGGTACTTGGGAGCGTCCCCGAAAGAGGAGAACGGTTGTGGCAGATGGTTGAGAAGCGCTAAGCGCAGGGCAGAAAAGTAGCAAGGCCGGCCGGCCGCAGCGCGGCTTAGTGCCACGCGTGAATGATAGAGAAGTATAAAACGGTGCAGAAAGCGTGGGCAAACGTTTTTCTCCGCATCTCACGGCATTCAAATTTGGGATTGTCTGTCATAAGCCAACATGGGGTGATTTGGGACTGATGGAACGAAGGGTGTTCTGCACAAGGTGAAGTCAAGGTAGGGATTTTGGTGCCCTCGGCAAGGAGGCCAGTTTAGACAGCTGTCGAAGGGGACTGGACAGATGTGCGGAGGAGCGAGCCACCGCGGCTACTAGCCTTTTGGGCACTTTGCTGCCTCCTTAAATACCAGCTGTTGGGAAGCGGGAGTGGAAAAGGGTGTCATCCCGCCTCCCCTCGTGGGCCGCCTGGCTGCAGGCGCTGGCCCTGCGGGGCCCTGGCCTTGAGGCAGGGCTCCCTTACGTTTTGTGGGCTGGAGTCCAACGCGTCCAGCGGGCACCAGCAGCTGGGGGGTTCCCATGACAGGCTGAACCACAGGCTCCTGGACCCTCTCTTCTGGCATTCTGAGGGAATCCACCTCTCTTTAATCCCTTTGTGGGGTTCTTGGCTACCCCTTCAAGACCTTGACCCAGAGGAGTTCTTGGCCTGATCCCGGGGCATGGTGCCCTGTGGCTGCTCTCAGAAGCACTCCTCCCAGCCTTTCTTCTTCTTGCCCCCCCCCACCCCTCTGTAGCTCTGGAGCCGCCTTGCAATCAGACCCGGCCAGATAAATTTCCCAGCAGCCTGGAATCGGAGAATGGTGAGCCTCCCCACTTTTTGTCCTGTTGGTGCAAAAGACCAGCAAGTCAAGATGCAGGGATGGGGGAAAAAAAAATTGTTTGCTGCTTTAGGGGGTGCCCTGGCAGTCTTCACTTAAGATATTAAGCCCTGATCTGTTCGTCTCTTGAATGAGCCACAGCGGCTGGGTTGGCATCACCCCAGCTTAACTTGGTCCAGGGGCCAGCTGCTCTATTATGATGCCAACAGGCCGGGGGGGGAATTGCTCCCGGCAGAAGCCCTTGGCATTCAGAAAACGGGCACCCCAGAGCCAAGGGCTGCTGGCATCCAAGCTGAGCGGGTTGACTTCCACCTGGCCCTCACTGCCCCCCCACCTGCAGGCTTCTCCAGCATGGAGCTGTCAGAGGTTGTGAGCAATGCCATCCTGTCTGCCTACAACGGGAGCCTGCTGAACGTCAACTTGGGCAGCCCCCCCTCGGACTCGCCCCCCTGTGGGGCCCCGCCCATGACCTCCAACGACGCCCTCCTCTTCCACGAGAAGTGCGGCACGCTGATCAAGCTGAGCAACAACAACAAAACAGCCGAGAGGCGCCGGCCGTTGGACGAGTTCAACAATGGAGTGGTCATGACCAACCGCCCGCTGCGGGACAATGAGATGTTTGAGGTAAGGGGCTCCTGGCCCGTCCAGCTTCACCTTGGCAAGACAAGGCCCCCCCGCCTTCTCCCCCACCCCCCGAAAAAAAACTCCAAGGGTTGAGTCTAGCTCACAGGGTGTGTGCTGCTACTTCATTATGCATCCGCTGTGTTTTCACAACACACAAACCCATGGGTTAATCAGGCGTGGTCTGAATTAACCCTTTGACTGGGTTTGCACATGAATTGACCAAACCAGCTGGGCTTGCACAACTTGCGAGTCCACAAAAACCTAGCCAAGCGGAGTGTGTTGTGTGAATAGGGCTGCTAGGTCCTTCGCCAACCTGGTGGAGCATGGCCCTAGCCATTGTTTCCACAGCATTGTTACCTGCAGTTAGCTAAACTGTGATTGATGAAATTAGCCCAATATTGTGGTTTGCAGATAGTGAACAAGGATTAACTACAGGGCTGCCTTTGCTGAGTTGTGAATGGCTTGTTCATGGTGTACAAATCCAGTGGCCGAGATGCTAGTAGCCAACGTGTTTTAATTTAGTGCATTCTGCAAAACCCGCCGTTATTTGCACGTGAGAGACCGAGAGACGTGGACGAAGCCACAAGTGTGTCGGGAGCTCATCCTGTGTTGGGATTTTGCGTAGCGAATGTGGTCACTGGATACCCCTGAGGACAAATAGAGGGGCGTCCCTGCTGGGAGGCAGCCCCAAGCAGGCCTTTCTCTGATATCTGCTTAATACTTGGATGGGGGACCACTAGGAAATCTAAGGGTTGAAGGCTAGGTGGGAAGTCATGGTCAACCATTTCCCTAGAAAATAATCTGGGTTGTCACCAGATGCTTGAGGGAAGGGAGCTGGATTTTTTTATTCCTTTCATCCGTCTTGCTCCAGTTGCTGATGGAGGGTGGTAACGGATTCAGGACTGCCCCCAAAAGAAAATCAGTTTCCATTTTGTTATTGTTCCAATACGTTTGAAAGCTACTGACAAGTCAGTCAAGCAGAGATAACAGAGTGTAAAGCGATCAATACATTTTGCAGTAACCTAAACACCCTGATTCATACAGTAGTAACGCCATTGACGCAATGAAGCAATTGCTGTGTAATTTATTAAAATCGTAAGCAAGGGTAAAAAGTAGAACAATTCAAATCTGGGAAAAGGATAGTAAATTCCGATCCTTGCTAACCCTGTTCCCAGCAAAAGTATCCTTAAGCATTCTAAGTATTTATGCTTCTGGGAATTATTGTTATTTTTCATTCCAGCCTTTTCAGGTGAAAATACCAAAAATGTAGAGGAAGGGGAAGAATAGGAATGTTCCACATTTGAAAAATGCCAAGTTTTGAGTTGAAATTAGATTGTTGTGACTCTCCCTGAAGTGTTCCAACACGGCTCTGATGATTGCAGACGTATTTCAAGCTCAGAACAGCCCCGTTTCAACGTCAGATCGCTTTGGGCCAGGTTGAAACAGCTCTTTTGAACTCAAAGAGTGTTTTGAATTTGAATTGTTCTGCCATCACTAGGGAAGACAGAAGAGGAAAGTTTTTCTGTAAGTTAAAGAAAGTCATGAAGAACTCTGAATGGTTCTTCTCTCCATCTTGAAAGAGTGACCCAAGGCCTAGAGTTAGATGGAATTCAACGGCCTACCTGTGAGCATCAAGAAAATGGGATGCCAGGTCAACGTTTGTGTAGATGTCTGTCTCTCGGTGCCATAGGCCTGACCCGGTTGTCATTTTGGTTTGATGTAACCCTCATTGCATTGGATGGCTCTTCCTTGGATTCTCACTGGCGGTTGGTTGCATCCTAGGCCCACTGTTTAAAATTTGCAGTACAGCGATAGTTCGTTAAACCAGAACTTTATTGTGATTTGATCAGATCTCCAGCAAATTGGTTATTGATCGGAGAATCCAGATGTAAGAAAGCCGGTTAAGAAGTAAAGGTCTACTTACATTTTAGTCTATACTTTGCTACAACAAAGCTTAGTTTTCAGAATAGTGCATTAGAGCGCTTAGGTGAAATAAGTAATGGTGTTGCAACAATTGCATACAGATAAATCTATTTAAGCAACAACAATATAATTTCTTATTATAAGTCCCAATAAATTTTAACAAGTTCTGCATTCATCCATAGTCAGAGGAGGACTACGCTATAAACAAAGATAAATTTCAAGTGGGTAATTGCTCATTTTAATCATGAGAATGCAAAATTGCATTTTTTTCCCACTACTTCAACTTCCTTCTCACAGCTTATAGAAACTCTCGCTGTCCATCAAGCCTTTCCTTGAATTTAAGTCTCTGCCAAACTGAGAGAAAGTGAATATGGGAGGGGAACTTTGTGTTGATTTAGGGACACTGACCAGGTTCCTGTCTCATGCTCACTGATAATTAGTCTGGCTCAGCCAGTTAACCATGAGTAAGCGGAGGGTGGCTTGCCAGGGGTTTCATACCCTGCTCTTGTTTCTTTACTACTTACATCTTCAGCTACCCACAGTTATACCCACATGGCTTGAAAATGCCTTTATTGGATTTCATCAGGCTTACCCCACATAGGGACGCCTTTGAAAGGCCATTGGGAGGCTTCCCTTGGTACTGATGGAGCAGTGGCTGAAGGTGACGGAATGGCTGCTCTGAGTCAGGGCATGTGGACATGGACATGATGGGCCACCAGAGAACCACCAAGGGAAAAATGCTAGAATGATGCATCCCTCTGGGGCAACAGATGCTTCCTCCTTCTCCTCTTCCTCCTCCCCCCCACTTCTTCATAGGCACCAAGAAATAGACCCAGAAGGAGTTCCAAGAAGTGTGGCAACTGGAGGAAAGACCCAGTTCAGAATTGCCAGAAATTAGCTCTTAAGCCTCAAATCCACAGTGCAAGATGTTTATTAAAAGAGAATAATAAGAGTGAGAACAAAGGGGGAACTGGGAAACAGTCCGGCAGTGAAAAACATTAAGTTTAAGGTGAACTCTTGGCAGTTAAATCCAGCCCGGGCTTATCTCAAGGGTAGCTTCGAATGGGCTGCGCCAGCTGACCAGGAGTAATGAAAGAGATTCCACATAGTTGTTGGGCGGGGAGGGACATGGGATTGCTCTCCAATATTTTTCAAGAATTGGGGTGCGGTACATACTGTGCAGAATTCAGCTTCTGGGTCCTGAGGTTGACTAGAGCATCCTTCCTACCCCAGGGCAGGGATCTCCACAGGTACCGAATTACAACTGGTGGGGAGTTCTGGAGCTTTTTAGAGGGGGAGGCAGATTTCAGGCTGCAAAGGAAAGTAGGTCCGGTGTGCAAAGGAATTAAAGGTGCCAATTTTGTTTTTAGATCCGAATTGACAAGCTGGTGGATAAGTGGTCGGGGTCCATAGAAATCGGGGTCACCACACACAATCCCAACAACCTGGAGTATCCGGCCACCATGACTAACCTGCGCTCAGGTGACTTCCCTGCTCATGTGGGAGGGGGAGACCCTGACAGGTTTGGAAAGGGTCTGCAGTGCTGAATTGTGGAGAAGCACCGGGGGGGGGGGAAGTCCCATCAGCTGGCCCCTTGTCCCCACTCAGTTCTTCTTGTCATGCTCCATCCGCACCATGAAGGAACCATCATGATGAGTGGCTGTGGCATTCTGACAAACGGCAAAGGGACGCGAAGGGAATACTGTGAATTCAGCTTGGATGAGTTGCAGGTGAGCAGGACATCCCCCTTCCACCAGTCGCGGCTCCCCCCTTTCGGACACGCCCTCCAGTAACCTCCCATCCCCTGCCTTTCTGCTTCCCGCAGGAAGGTGACCACATTGGCTTGACCAGGAAGTCCAACAACGCCCTTCACTTTTACATCAATGGCATTGACCAAGGTGGGCACAGTCCTCAACACGAAATGGTGCAGGCCTTTTGGGGATTCAGAGACCAAAGCAGAGGCTGGGGAGGCTTATGGGTCTTGAAGGGAAGGGGGAGAATGGGTTATGTTCATCAAGAGGAAGGAGCAATAGGACAGTCAGTCTGGTCTTCTTTGGGTGGGTTGCCTATGAGCTTGGGGAGGAAGAAATGGGAAGAGGGACCCTCACGGGGTGAGCCAATCAGGGCATTGTGGCAGGAGTAATGAGTAGAGTAACACCACTAATTACTTTACCAAGCCAGCCTTGATGACAAGGTTAGAATTGGCTGAACTGCCACATTTGTTCCTCCCCTCCGGAGCAGATCACTCTTTTTCTTGTTGGGGGGAGTCAAGTGACAGTGACGCGCTCCTCCTTCCAGGCGTTGCCACCACCCTCACCCCCTTGGTGGTCTACGGTGTGGTGGACCTCTACGGCATGGCCGTGAAGGTCACCATCGTGCACAACCATAATCACAGCGACCGGCTTCGGCGCAACAACGCCATCATGAGGGCACTCTCCCCTGATGTGGGGCGCCGGGCCATCGACGCAGCGGGCAATGAGCCGGAGCTGGAACGTCTCCTCTTCCACCCAAATTGCGGGCAGAAAGCTGCCATCATCAACGAGGGACGGACGGCACTACGGCCTCAGTACGTGTCTTAATAGCCCTTGCTCTAGTTCATTGCTTCTTTTAGCCTTTGGTCACTCTGTCTCTTATCCTCTGTTCCCACTCACCCATCCCTGTCCTTCTAGCAAATCTCCTGGTTGGAGTACAGGTAGTCCTCACTTAACAACCGTTCATTTAACAAAGTTTCAAAGTTACAGTGGCTTCAGAAACAGTGCTTTATGACCTGTACTTGCACTTACAACCATTGCAAACTGTCACACCACCCCCACAGTCAATCGCAATTTGCAACCTTTTTTACGATGGTCGTAAAATGAATCACCATGGTTGTTAAGCAAATCACATGGTTATTAAACAAATTATGTGGTCGTTAAGCGAATTCTGACAAAAAAGTCCATTGGGGAAGCCGAATTCACTTACCGACCACATAATGACCATGTGATTTGCTTTATAGCTGTTGTAAAAATGGTCATAAAATTGGGTCCAGTCACATGGTGACTCAACGCCTGCTCAACTTAATGACCAATTTTCTGGTCCTTATTTTCATTAAGCGAGGACTACCTGTATTGTTTGAAGTTTTCTCTTTGAAATGGACTTCTGCCTGTCCTTGTAGAACTTCAACCATTTGTCTACATCCCATTGCTCACACCTTGCACTGTTAGAATGTTTATGAATGGTCCATGGCATCCTGCAGCTTTTAGCAGCGGCCCAAGAAAACTTACATCCAAGCTCCAGCCCATTTTCCATTCTACGTTACCCAGATGCCTCCTGTTGAGGGCCTCTGCGCTCTGGTCTTGTCCTGCTACCCCTGTTCTGCCTCCCAGCCCTGGTCTGATGGGCACCATCCCAAGAGCAGCCCTAAGCTAGAGTTCTGCCTTTGCCTCCCCTGCCTGTACAGTGCCACGGACGACTTTAACCACGGAGTAGTCTTGAGCAACCGGCCACTGCGGAATGGCGAGGTCTTCCAGGTGCGGATTGACAAGATGGTGGACAAATGGGCTGGCTCCATTGAGATTGGCGTCACCACCCACAACCCCACGTACTTGCAGCTGCCATCCACCATGACCAACCTGCGGTCAGGTGAGGACCACAACCCGGGCATCTCGGACAGGGTCTTGGCGCACCAGTCTCATCCAGGGACATTGTGCTTTTGTCTTCTAATGTTTGCTTTTCCAGCCTTGGGGAGGAGAGAGAATTGAGAAAAATAGCAAAAACCTTCACATCTCCACTTTCCTGCAGTTTTGAGACAATCAGAAAGGGCTGATAGACTTTCAGATATCCATGTTTGCACATGAGGGCTGGAAACCTGGGGCAAGTTCCAGCTTAAACAAGAGGCTGTAACCAAACATGGTTCTGTGCCTTGACCAGGGAATCTTGGTTTGTAGAACAGGGCCAGTCTTGTCCTGGAGAGGCCCGCCAAGCACTGATCATCTTTCTCCTGAAGCTGGATCAGGCTGGCCTCATTCTACTGAGCTGATTGCCATGGGAAGGAAGGCTGTGTGAACAGAGCAAGAGGGATCCTTGAGATATGATACAGCTGTTGCAGTGACTCATGGCTGTTCGTGTCCTTCTCCTCCATGAAGTCATCTGCTCTACTTTTAAAGCAGTCTGAGTTGGAGGTCATTCCCCATCTTGTAGGAAGGAAATCCATGGACGAAATCCACAGAGTATAAAGAAATGCATATTTTCCCGGTTCTATTGTGGATCTACAGCTAAGGGGCCAAATTACACAATAATTTATCATTTCATAAACCTCTTTTAATGTCCCCTTTTTGTGGCTGATTTTTCTAAACAAAAAATGAGTTGCAGTGTTCCTGACCCCAGGATCATTTGTGATTTTCTTTTCCACTGCTAAAGTGCCCTTTCCAAAACGGGGTCACCAGAACTGTACCATTTTCAAATCTCTTTGCTCCTGCTTTCCTTCTCGTCGCTCTCAAGTCATTCTGTGATGGTCCTCAGCTCTCTCCACCTGGTGAGGAGTAAACTAGACCAACCAACTGGAGAGAGCAAGGAGGAACAAGCTGTCTGGTAAAGGGCTGTTCTCCATCCTTGCCTCACTGATGGGGTGCTTCTTGGCTGATCTCATGCAGGAACTTGGATGATGACCGGGAATGGGGTGATGCACAATGGTACCACCATCCTGGATGAATATGGCCATAACCTGGATCGCTTAAAGGTAAGCTGGGGCAAGCCCGGGGGAGAGAAAAATGTTTATGAGGCAGAGGAAGGGGAACATGGTGTGGCATCCGATGCAGAATTATAGAACTGTCTTCAAGAAAGAGTAATACAAGTAGTCCTCGCTTAACACCATTCATTTAACGACAGTCCAGAGTTACGACAGCGTTAGGAAAAGCACTTTACAACCCCCCCACTGTCATGTGATCACGATTTGCCACATTTTTATGATTAAGTAAATCACCATGGTCATTAAGTGAATCACATGGTTGTTAAGCGAATCACATGGTGGTTAAGTGAGTTCCAGCAAAAAACGTCCATTGGGAAAGCTGGATTTGTTTAACGACCATGTGATTTGCTTAACGACCATTGTGAAAAAGGTCATAAAATCAGCTGTGTTTCGCTTAACAACCAAATTGCTTAGCAACCTAAATTCTAGTCTCTATTGTGGTTGGATAGTAAGGACTACCTGTAAAGGGCTGTGATTGGGTGGAAGCGGCCATTGCAGAGACCTGGAGAGATTAGGTGCTTTGAGGGAGGGGCAGGGACAGGAGTGGTGGAGAATCAGCTGAAGGTAAGTTAACAGGAGGGCAGGGCAGGATGTGCGGACAAAAGACTGGAGCACAGCAGAAGAGATCACGGGGATTTGCTTTGCATCCGATTCTAGGAAGAGGCAGATGCGAATGGCCCAGGCCCCGCCTCTTGCCGTTTCCTTTTGTGGGGCCTCTAGCGGGGGGGGCTGCAGCCCAGCGGCCCCAGAGCAGAGTTTAAGGTTAGAAGCGGCCATAGTTCTGGCCGTCAGACGTTCAGGGCCTCCGCACTGGAAACGAAGCGGTCTGCACCCACTCAGCTTTCCTTCGCCTGCCCTCTCTGGGGCTGTCCCCTCCTCCCCCCCTACTCAGGCAGGCGACACCGTGGGCGTTGTGCGGAAGGAGGACGGGACCCTGCATTTCTTTGTCAATGGCGTGGCGCAAGGCCCGGCTGCCTGGAACGTCCCACCAAACATCTACGCCGTGGCGGATCTCTACGGGCAGGCGGCCCAAGCAACCATCGTGGATGACACAGGTAACGGACGCAGACAGAAGCGGGGCTGGGGTGCGCTAGGGAACGGGGTTGGGGCAGGAACAAGGAGCTTGGGCTTATTTTGAAACCCAGCAGCCAGGAAGTCAGAAGTTGATTTACAACCAGCCAGGAAAAGAGAGGGCACCAAAAATGCAGGAAGACGCCCCCATCCAGAAGAGCGAGGGGCGTATCCAGATGGCCAGGGATACGGTTATGCAGGGGACACACCTCCCCTTCAGGTTCATGAGGAACTCATGAAACCCAGTGAGTTTCTCACGTGCTGGCTTTGGACTTGAGCAGCAAAACGCATACGTCGGCGGTCCCTCCGCCTGCCTTGGGGGCGGGTTGGTCTCTGGGAGGGGGGCGCAAGTGTTGTACTGGTGGGCCACGCCCTGCTTCCTTCCCAGATCTTCTTCCTCTTCCCGACGATCTCTCGGAGGGAAACAACCAACTGTCCCCCAGCAGCCCGTCTTCCGTGGCTTCGGGCAGCGACCTGCGTTTCCACCACCTGCACGGCAACAATGCCATCATCACGAACGGGGGGCGCACCGCCCTGCGCCAGAACTGCCGCAGTGAATTCAACGACGCCATCGTCATCTCCAACCGGTCAGCGAAGGGCACGGGGTGACGGCTTCCTCCCTCCTCCCCTGCGGGCTGAGTGTTTCTGAAGCAGGGGTTGGGTTGATCAGAGCGCCAGAGCCTGGGGTCTCAATGGGAGGGATCCTTGCCCCTTGGGTGGCTGTGGATGACCTCTGTCTCTTCGGAGCTCTCACCCCCACCCCATTTTAGAGAACAAGGAAGAATGCCTTCCATTGTAGAGCACAGCTTTGGTGGAGGGCGTGCATGAGTGCGCAGAGGGAGCGATGTTGCCAGCCTATTTGAAGAGGCCCCAGATAATGGCAAAGACCCTTCTTAACTTTAGTTAGAGGAAACAGGCCAGATTCGTAGACTATGATGGCTGGGTTGCCATTCATCGTTTTCTGGTCCAGAAGCAGCAGCAGGCCGTTTGCCCCAAACTTTCAGAGTTTCTAAACTTCTCCTGGTTGCCATGCTGGGGGCCTGCTTGTTCTCTGAATGCTCCTCTCCTTCCGCAAAGCACTGAAGACCTCGATTTGCTCCAGGGCCTGGAGTCGGGAGGTTCAGTGGCCCGTTGAGTGGTTTCAGTTGATGGTCCTGTGGGTTCATCCTCGGGCTATTGCTGGGTCTTGATTTTGCTAATGTTGTTTTAATGCGCTGTTAGCCGCCCAGAGTCGCATTTGCGAGAGGGGGAAGCCGCGTGCATTAATTTAATAAATAATAAATGAAATAAACCATCACAACGAAGCCAGACGCTGCACCATTCTGGGAGAAAGCTAGCCCCAAATGGCTTTCATTGCAACCACCCCTTGTATTCCACAGGCCCCTCCGGGATGGTGAACTCTTTGAAATCGTCATCCAGAAGATGGTGGATCGCTGGTCTGGCTCCATCGAAGCAGGTGAGGGGGCGGAAGAGACGGGGGGGAGCAGAGGCCTAGAGCAGTGTTGTCCAAACTTGGCCACTTTAAGATGAGTGGCTTTGCTGGCTGGGGAATTCTGGGAGTTGA